CGTTCAACAACGAAGAATTATCCGATCCTTCGAGTCCCTTTTATTTCTGCTTTAATAATGTCACGTTTCGTAAACTTTTTCGTGCAATGAGATTTCGAAAAGATCTTGCACTATTCTTGCGAGTATTAGACAATCTGTAGCAATGGAATTTTTTAAAACAATTTTCAAATGATATTGTCGCAAAATTTCGTTTTCACAGTTATTCGAAAGGTCTGTCTGATGTTTATTTTGAGCGAAAATTTATTAGTGATGGTCGTTGTACAAATTTTTTAAGTAACGATGGTTTATTTTCTGATTCTCAGAATCCTTTTGTACCTAAGAAAAGTGAGAGAACAGCGGAGATCTCGCCAGAAAGGAAGACAGTAAGAAATTCAATGTTGGAACGATTTCCAAGAATGGGCAGAAGCAAGTCCGCGCCGAGTTCTTACAACTGGCTAACAAACCGTAGGTAAATAATCTGAGTGATCCAAGTTTTTGAGAACTTCTTGTCACCTTACTCTTCCTGTGTGCTGTGAAAAATTTTCAGACAAATGTCCGTAAACAGCCCACTGTCTCCATTGATGGAAGCGCCCAGTCAAGAAACGGAATGAAATATATCTCGAATCGACACGTCGCGCACAGTGGGAAAATTCGCCGTAAACCCTGGCCAAAAGCAATACATCTAAATCTAAAAGACGAATTACTGGTATAAAACCACAGTGATATAACTCTGAGCTAATAATATATTTTTGATATCAAATATTTCATGTAAAAATAAATTGTCGATTTAATAAACTACTTTACAGAATTGAAGAATCACTGAATTCTTTCGGAAAATTATCAGTCGTCGAACCTTCCTGTTACTTCGTCCAGGAAAGTCATGCAAGATTTAGTCTAGATCTTCCATTTCAAAGCGTGAAATCACTATTTCTGTAATCCAGTCGTCATGGAACGAGCTAGAAAAATACATTGTTTCATTTAGAAAAAAAAAAAACTTTGATATCTCGGAAGTTAGACAAGATTTGTGACCACCACAAGATGTTCCCCATGCTGAGACAACGTGAGTTTTACTTGAAACATATTTTTTTCTATAACGAGTAGCTTAAGAGACAATCGCGAACATTCTATTCGTCTTACTTGTTTCATCTTTTTAATTGTACACGTGCTGTTTATCAAACTAGCATTTAGATGTACAATTAGGTAAAATTCCATCGAAATCTAGAAAATCTAGAAAGAAAAAAAGATGAAGAAGTTAATAATCTTTGGTTTGGTTTTTTTGAAGCAAAGTTTAGTGAAAGAGACCATCGATCAGTCCAACGTGATTGGACCTACGTTTAGTTGTTTGCTATTATAAAATTGACTGGTGAAGGGTTTCAATTTTATAATTTTATCTGATTGTTATTGATGTAGTTTATACGACCTCAACTATATTTTAGTAGCCGTTGAATATGAAATAAATTTACTTTAGTTTAATTTAATTAAATACATGCAAGGTGATTCCTAGAAGTTTCATTTATTAAAACAGAAAAGAAAATGAGTTCCAAATTAGTACTTGAAACATTTCCTCTGTGAAACAGAATGTGTATAATCGTTCGGAATTCATCATGAACTTTCCATACATTTCCTATATGTATATTTTCTTTCAAACGTTTTCGTAGAATTTGTCGCACAACAGCCTAGTGGCTAGTAACAAATACTTAAAAAACGTTACATTCTTCCCTTGCTACTTAGACTTCTTACGGAGCTGAATGAAGCAGAAGTAGTAGGTTGGTACCATTTCGATTGAATTCGCATTGCTATGTCGATGCTGTCACCTGCGAACAAAGACAAATTTATTTTTCAAACAAAGTAAAATGCTCTTAGTTCGAAGATTTGCAGAATTTAAACATCAAGCGACTTTGAATTTCAATTTCAACGAGAAAAGAACGATCTCCGATCTCGAAAATTTCAACGTTCACGAGCAGATGAAAATTCTAATCGTGGATTTTATGGTACCTGTCGGAATTGTTGGATAAACTTTCGTGGAGAGGGTGAACGGTTTCTCGATCTCTTGGAACATCTGTTCGTTGATTTTCGTGACGTTGAACCTCGTCCCTTTCGTCAGGCTGACGTTAAGCTCGTTCAAGAAAGCAGCCCAACGTGGCTTGAAATAATCCGAGACAATTCCTGACCACTGTTTGTTCGCGTAATCTCTTATCTCCCCCCGCGGCCCCCACAACGTGATCTGGTTTCTCGCGTTGTACTCGTATAATTTCGATTCCGCGTTGTCGTCGCCCAGATCTTTCGCCATTTCCAGCCAGGTTCCCAACAAGAAGTCTTTACTCGATGCCAAGATTGCCTCGAGGTCGTCGAACAGTTCCAACAGTTGGTCAACGTGCAGTCTAAAATAAATTTCAGAAAATTACTAAGTGCGTTTAATATTGAAATCGTCACGGCCGTTAGCTCACCAATGCTATCCTGAATATTGCCCACGAATTTCTCACAAAATAAAAAACGCAACAGCTCGCAAAGCTTTTCGTGGACTACTGAAATTTATTCTGTATAGGATAGGAAAATTCCACAGATTATTTTTGTGAGAAATTTGTTGGGCTACGACGTTCGTTTTGTAAAATAGTAAATTTCGTAGGCTACATTTTACACTTTGTGGGAATTATGTGGGATTCAGATTTTTTTTTTTTTCTTTTGACATTTTGTTACATCCTTACATTAATGGGAAAGAATAGAATTTTTGGAGTGTGGAAAACAGGATGTGGGATGTAGGAACAAAATCCAGAATGTAAAACACAGAATACAAGACAAGTTAACATTGAATATGAAAAAGTGGACAGGGTATGGAATACGAAAT